AAGCTGAAAATGAATAAAATAATATTTTCTAAATTTATTGGGTCTGGTCGCCCACCAAATTTGTTTTATTAGGTTTTTGTTTGTGGGGGTGGTGGAGTGGGGATGGGGGGGGGGGGGGGGGGGAGGTGACGACTCACCCCCTACTAATATTTTCCTAATAGGATAGGATCTGGCCTGCCCAAATTTTTTTTTCATTTTGTGTGTGTTTGTGTGTGTTTGTGTGTGTTTGTGTGTGTTTGTGTGTGTTGTGTGAGTTGTGTGTGTTTGTGTGTGTTTGTGTGTGTTTGTGTGTGTTTGTGTGTGTTTGTGTGTGTTTGTGTGTGTTTGTGTGTGTGTGTTGTGTGTGTGTTGTGTGTGTTGTGTGTGTGTTGTGTGTGTTTGTGTGTGTTGTGTGTTTGTGTGTGTTGTGTGTTTGTGTGTGTTGTGTGTTTGTGTGTGTGTGTGTTTGTGTGTGTTGTGTGTTTGTGTGTGTGTGTGTGTTTGTGTGTGTTTGTGTGTGTTGTGTGTGTTGTGTGTGTGTGTGTGTGTCAGAAAATGTGTTAGGTGTGTAGGGAGAGGGAGGGGGGAACTATTTTCCTAATGACGGCCATCGAGTTACAGTCGCATGTTTAACATGATTTTATGTTTGGTCTGTCTAAGTATTTTTGCCCCTTGGCCAGATCATATTCCAATACTTGACACACACATACACACACACATACACACACACACACACACACACACACAAGCACGCAAGCACACTACTAGAAAGTTGGAAATAAAGTTGGTTGCATATCCTCTACACTAGTCTACAGGACGTTGCAGAAACAACCGAGGAATTATTAATATCATTGTGTGTGAGTGTGTGTGTGTGTGTATGTGTATGTGACGGGCTTTTTTGGTTTTACTAAGCAATTTTACGTTTAGTAGTTCTTCAGTACTCAGCGGTCGGCTCTTTATACCATTGTCAAAATAAATGCAAGGCTGTCTGCGTTCACATCGACTGCAGCCGGAATCGAACCGTGTACTACGGAATTACGAATCGCGTTGGCAACGCCTAAGCCACAATCACAGATTTGCAAAATACCTATTTTAATATGTAAATATAGCGTGCCGGCGTCAGAGACAGACGTGACGCATTTTCCCAGCCGGCAAGACAGAGAGCACAGATGCGCTGCCTAAACTTCCCGCCTTTTATCCGGCCAGATTTTCTCCCTAGCAAGATGAGAATAGAATTGAAAGATTTAGCCAAATTAATAAAATTTGCTCCCGCTAGAAACTGCTGGGGCATTTATGGTTCCATTATCAAGTCTTTAGTCGAACGGACAAGATGGCAAAAGTGAGGGCGCTAGCTATTCAGATCAAGTGAGACGTTGGTAATGCTATTACAGATTTCAGAGAGCAAAGCCGTCATTAACTTCATCCCGACCATAGACCCAAGCTATTTCAGTGAACCTTTCTTTAAAAGCTATTCTTGCGAAGAAACGACAAAGAGATGGTCTCTTTAGTATTAGCATTCATGCCAAATTGAATTATCCAAGGCAGAGAATGGTGTGGGAGTGAAACAGGGGTGAGAGGAGAAGCGAGAGAAGGTATGGGGGAAGAGTCTGGCCTGCGGTTAAGAGAATTGGGTCTATCTCAGTCGATGACCCTAATTGGCCAAGGCTCATCTGTGTTGAAACCCCTCAGTGAGACCCTCTTCAGACACAGAATCGGCTTAATTAGAATGTGTGCCGAGTTGTGAGCCAGACGTCCCACGGTGAGCCATTGATAGGTGCTTCAGACCACACTCCAACTTTTGCCCCAACGTCACGGTGTGTACATGGTCACACTGACCAACCTTTGACCGCTACTGACCATCCATGACAGGTGATAATTGGACGCCCCCACATGAAAGACCCTATTTTTTCCTAATGCCTTCTGCATGAGGTCAGACAGGAGTCGAGTTTGTGCAGAAAAAGAGTTTTACTGTTCTGCGACACGGGAAAGCTTAATTGTCCCCTTCAGAGATCCAAGAATGGAGTCCAGTGAGATAAACACCCCTCAGCGTCCATCTGTTGACCACTTGTGGTTGTCCAGAAAACGTCCGTGCGAATGAATTCCATTGAAAAAGCATTTAATATATCACTGACTTTTCTTATTTTTATTATTATTAGGGTTAGTTGCGTATCCTTTACAGGACGTTGCAAAACCAACCCCAGCAGCCCCTGGCTGTTGTGAGGTTTCTCTAGGCAAATTTACGTCCAGTAGTTTGCCATTGCTTTATGAACGGTCGTCCCCCTGATACCACTGTCGAAACCAAGGTAAGACGCATGGCCAGGAGCTGGGATCGAACCCGGCACCCCGGCATTACAAAGCGTTCGCATCGACTTACCACAGAGCCGACCTTCTTCTTATTATCTGCCCTTTATCCCCCACTAGAACATACTCTATTTTCTTCACTTAATTCACTGGATTTTTTTTTCGTTTTTCACTCCAAAGCTCAAAATGACTGATTAGGTCATAACATTTAATCCCTCTATTCTGTGCAGACATCAGTTGATGAATGTTAGTAGATTATTAGTAATTGATCTAGATGTTCTCCGTGTTTCACATACACACAGCGGAACTGATTTAACAGTAAAGATGACCATTTGAAGTTTTTTTTCAACTTCATTTGATAGACTTCGACTTCTTCTTAAAATCCATGCCATGCCAGTCATGTTTATCCACAACCTTCTGTCTCTGGTACTTTCAATTAACTGACACAGATGAGCTTCCATGACATGATGTCAAATCGCCCAGCTTCTTCTCACTCGTTCTTCCTCTCATTTGGCTTTGTGTATTCGTATTTTCATATCACTGTCAGTTTCCTCATCTGGGTGTGACTCCATATCTTGTAGTTGCATAACCTCAGTCAAACAGGACCCTTTTCCACGTCTTCGGGCCTAATGAGCATATAGGGCTAGACCTATATTTTATAGACCAATAGCAATTTGGCGGGTGTTGTGAAAAGCATCACGCCGGCTGCCTTTACATCCCGTGACTTTACCTGGTACCAGTTTAAGACTGATGTCAAGCTTATTAAAAAAAAAAAAAAACTCTACCATCGTTCGGATTCAAACCCACGATATTCAGATCCGCAGGCTTGTGACACCCCCTTCCCCCCCCCCCCCCCCCCCCAAATGTGGATTATTGATTTTCTGTCTTACTCTCATTATATTTTTTCTGCCTGTATCTGTGTATGCCTGTCTGGCGGTCTTTTTTTTTTTTTTTCTTCTATCTGTATATTTCAGTCTATCAGTGATTGTGTTTATTCTTGAAACCACCTGTCTGTCTTTGTCTGACTGTCCATTATCTACTTGGCCAGATGTCAGTTTCCCTATGCCGTATAGCATGTATACAAAACACAACCATAATTTTGATTTTCGAAACAAAGTTAAAATCCACAGACAATCTGGCAATCAAAAATCCTGATTTACTTTTTTGTGTGTTAATAATAATATTTTAAATCTTTTTAGGAAAATGTTTAATTAGAAGGCTTTTACGATGACATTTCTCCACATTCTAAGCGTTCAACAAATGAAATGTATTTAGATGCAACTTCTGAAATGCAACAAATGTCAATTTACGTTAGAAGTAATAAAGAATATTAGTTAATTATTTCTTTGTGAGTATATTTAAATTCATTGGAGATGCTTTTTATTTATGACTTCTTTGTCGTCAAAACTTTTTCTTATGAACTTCTTATTTTTTCTTCTGCTGCTGCTTGTTCTTCTTCTTCTTCTTCTTCTTCTTCTTCTTCTTCTTCTTCTTCTTCTTCTTCTTCTTCTTCTTCTTCTTCTTCTTCTTCTTCTTCTTCTTCTTCTTCTTCTTCTTCTTCTTCTTCTTCTTCTTCTTCTTCTTCTTCTTCTTCTTCTTCTTCTTCTTCTTCTTCTTCTTCTTCTTCTTCTTCTTCTTCTTCTTCTTCTTCTTCTTTCTTCTTCTTCTTCTTCTTCTTCTTCTTCTTCTTCTTCTTCTTCTTCTTCTTCTTCTTCTTCTTCTTCTTCTTCTTCTTCTTCTTCTTCTTCTTCTTCTTCTTCTTCTTCTTCTTCTTCTTCTTCTTCTTCTTCTTCTTCTTCTTTCTTCTTCTTCTTCTTCTTCTTCTTCTTCTTCTTCTTCTTCTTCTTCTTCTTCTTTTTCTTCTTCTTCTTCTTCTTCTTCTTCTTCTTCTTCTTCTTCTTCTTCTTCTTCTTCTTTTTCTTCATTTTCTTCTTTTTCTTAGTCTTCTTCTTCTTCTTCTTCTTCTTCTTCTTCTTCTTCTTCTTCTTCTTCTTCTTCTTCTTCTTCTTCTTCTTCTTCTTCTTCTTCTTCTTCTACTACTACTACTACTACTACTACTACTACTACTACTACTACTACTACTACTACTACTACTACTACTACTACTACTACTACTACTACTACTACTTCTTCTTCTTCTTCGTTTTTTCTTCTTCTTCTTCTTCTTCTTCCGCTTCTGCTGCTGCTTCTGCTGCTTCTGCTGCCATATTTTTTTTAGAAACAGCGAGCTATTAAATTAGTCTCCACACTGGTACACCTACTGCTAGTAGTGACCATTTCAAAGATAAATGGAGAAGATTACAAAACCATTGATCCAGACCTCAGGTCGAATCAAAACGAATGAATACCAGAAAAATGTTCCCTTAAAGAAATGTGACAGTCGAAATATTATATGTTGATTGATTTCAGAATCAGAATCATAACACACTGGGAATATGCACAGATGCTCGGTCTCCCGCATCAAATGCCCAACGGTGTGTAGATACTAATTGTTCGCCTAGCACACGTCTGTCTCTTGCTCTCATACGTTCCTCTTCGAACAACTTACAACACCACTCATCGAGTGCCTCTATAAAATATGGCAGCAACACCATATAACCATAGGGCCTCAAAGCGTGCATAAGGGACCATTACTTTACTCACATTATGTTCAGTATTACCATGGCTTAGTGGAACTGGTTGCATCCATCCAAATCTGACTGTGCTTCTTGTATTCACAGGTCTGGTTCCAAAACAGGAGAGCTAAATGGCGGCGACAGGAGAAAATCGAATACGGCAAGCTTCCTGATTCCCTGACAGTTTCAGTTCTCCCAAAGATGTCCACATCTGCAACTCGGGGGCCAGCCAGTCTACCGCTTGATCCCTGGTTGACTCCATCCATTGTCAGTATTGCTGGGGACATGACAACAGCCACGCTGACTTCCTTTCCCTCGTCAGTCCTCAGGAGCCCTGGCCCCATGTCTTTCACAGACTACCTGCCTACTTCCATGACGTCACATTGCAGCAATCTTGCCTCGCAGTTCCACGGACTCTCCGGGATGTTTAGTCCATTAGTTCCTAAACGGGGCCTGGCCGAGGACAGGTCAGGGGGCAGCAACAATAATAATTACAGCATCGCCTCGCTTCGGATCCGCGCACGAGAGCATCTTGACATTCTGGAACGAAAAATGGATGGACATGTTTTGTAACATTTTCTGCGTACGGACATGTTTTGTAACATTTTCTGCGTACGTGCAACGTTACACTATGAACATGTATATAGTAAATGACCTTTTTCAAGATGTTCGGCTTATTGGACATATAGGGCTAGACCATATTTTTAGAGATCATTCCATTTATGATGTGGTGGACATCACACCGATCACCTTTACATACAGGGACATTACCTGGTACCCATTTTGGACTATGTCCACCTTGGAACCGAGGTAAAGTTTGAGAAAGAGAATTGAAAAAGAAATTCCCATTCAATGAGGGTTTGAATCCTAGATCGTCAGACCATCAGGCCAGTATCTAGCCGCTATGCTAGAGCGGATCCCATTTAGCACATTATATTTTAGTTACAAAAAACCCAGGTAAATAACTGACCAAAGTGTGAACTCGTTCAGGGTCATCCAAGCAATTATTAGGGACCCTCACGCTGGAGAACGAAGCAGGGCTCCCATGGCCAACTATAGTGTTTTTTGACTTCTCCTCGACCAAGGGGAAACAACGTAACGGCGCCACAATCTATAGTGTACTGTGACGTGTCCTAAAACTAAGGGAAAACAATGTAACGGCGCCACAATCTATAGTGTACTGTGACGTGTCCTAAAACTAAGGGAAAACAATGTAACGGCGCCCCAATCTATAGTGTACTGTGACGTGTCCTACCACCAAAGGGAAACAATGTAACGGCGCCCCAATCTATAGTGTACTGTGACGTGTCCTACCACCAAGGGGAAACAATGTAACGGTGCCACGATCTCTACTGTACTGTGACGTGTCCTACCACCAAGGGGAAACAATGTAACGGTGCCACGATCTCTAGTGTACTGTGTCGTGTCCTACCACCAAAGGGAAACAATGTAACGGTGCCACGATCTCTAGTGTACTGTGACGTGTCCTACCACCAAGGGGAAACAATGTAACGGTGCCACGATCTCTAGTGTACTGTGTCGTGCCCTAACACCAAGTGGGAATAGTGTAATGAGGTCATGATCTATAGTGTACTGTGACGTGTCCTACCACCAAGGGGAAACAATGTAACGGTGCCACGATCTCTAGTGTACTGTGTCGTGCCCTAACACCAAGTGGGAATAGTGTAATGAGGTCATGATCTATAGTGTACTGTGACGTGCCCTAACACCAAGTGGGAATAGTGTAATGAGGTCATGATCTCTAGTGTACTGTGACGTGCCCTAACACCAAGTGGGAATAGTGTAATGAGGTCATGATCTCTAGTGTACTGTGACGTGCCCTAACACCAAGTGGGAATAGTGTAATGAGGTCATGATCTATAGCGTACTGTGACGTGTCCTACGACCAAGGGAAAATAATGTAACGGTCACACGATCCATTAGCTAGTGTACTTTTGACTACTCATCAGCCAAGTGGAACGATATTATTTACATTTATCGGTGCTTAAGTACAGCCCACTACTAATAAAGTTAGGAAATAAGGATCTTCATCTCTGTGGCATATAGCCTAGGCAGCCCTGTAGAGATCATGTGACGCCAATGCTGAATAATCAGATTCTTTAATTGTTTTGTAACTCTGAAAGAAAGACGACACCAACATGTTTGGAACAGAGCGTGCTGCAGAAGCTGCTGAATCAAAGACACAAGCTTCTATCTGTCTGAAGCTGGTAGATCAGAGACACAGGGTTCTATCTGTCTGAAGCTGGTAGATCAGAGACACAGGGTTCTATCTGTCTGAAACTGCTGGATCAGAGATACAATGTTCTATCTGTCTGAAACTGCTGGATCAGAGACACAATTTTCTATTTGTCTGAAACTGCTGGATCAGATATACAATGTTCTATCTGAAACTGTTGGATCAGAGACACAGGGTTCTATCTGTTTGAAACTGTTGGGTCAGAGACACGTGGTTCTATCTGTCTGAAACTGTTGGATCAGAGACACAAGGTTCTATCTGTCTGAAACTGCTGGATCAGAGAATCAAGGTTCTATCTGTTTGAAACTGCTGTATCAGAGACACAATTTTCTATTTGTCTGAAACTGCTGGATCAGAGACACATCTGTCATCAGTGTAAAGGTATAACTATACACATAGACGTTGTCTATGACACACAGTTTACTATTGCAGTATAAAAACGACTACTTTGATAGACGTACTATTAACTTTATCTTATCTATGACTGGCGTAGCTACAGTGTATTGCATGAATGGACGTTGTCTATCCCTTGCGCAGTTACAGTCTGCTACATAAATGGACTTTGTCAATGACAACTATCTACTAAATAAAAGGAAAGTTGTCTATGACAGACGAAGTTACAACCTGGTACAAAGCAGAAGTTGTCAATAAGTGACCCCTAAATCCGAGGTCTCCAAACTTTTCCAGGTAGCCCGCCCCTGAGTATATAGTAAAAGTTCCTACACCCCCAACTTAATAAAATGTGATTAAAAAAAAATATCAGGAATGTGTTCTTAATCTATAATTGAATGTACTTGTCTTCTTCCTCTCCTTCTTCGATCACTCTGTCAGAAAACTTATTTCAGGAGGCCGGTAGCCTTTATGAAAGCTATCGTGCATTCCACATCTTCTCGTGTACCATACAGTTTTGTTTTCAGTGTGGCTGGAACAGGCCAGATTGCGTCTCTGTTGTCAGCATACAGTTGACAGTGTTGGAGCACATGCTCAGCATTTTCGGGTGCCACGCTGCAGGGACACGTCTCCGTGTTTCCTACGCGACAATTTTGAACATATGTTGACAAAGTCTGCTGTGCTCAGTCCTTATTTTGAATATAATACACTGTCCCTCTCTAAAGAGACGATGAAGTGAGTCTTGGGGAGAAAATTTGGTGTGGGTATCCAGCCACCTTTCTTGGATACTAGATTGTATTAATGTTTTCATCTCTTTGTGGGTTAAGTCGCAATTTGGTTTTAAAATGTCACTGCCGCTTCTGGCCAATCTGTCCGCTATTTTGTTGCTTTCCAAGAAACAGTGACCTGGAATCCGTGTAGTACACATTGTTCTACTGAAGAGCCCAAGTGAATCAGCTGTTGCGTCAAGTCTACAAACTGAGTGTTTTTTTTTTTTTTTAAACAATTGCTTGTAGAACTGACATAGTATCAGTCAGAAAGACCACTCTGCTATATTTGTTCTGCTGTTGTCCATTCAGGAAAGAACATGCCGCCAGAAGTGCTTCTGCCTCTGCTTTGTAATTGGAGGAATATGAACCTGTTAATTGTTAAACCATTTGGGTATTCTATGAATATTCCTCCTCCTTTGTCTCTTACTGCTCTTTTGGCTGAACAATCTGTATACACTCGAATCCAACTCTGGCATGGATAAAGTCTGTTCATCTCTCCTTCTGTAGTTGATTTTATGTAAGTGCTGCTTATTGATGATTTGGAGGAGATCCCTGTTACAGTGATTCTGACTGTTGGCAGGCTATCCCTAAGCCAAGCGGGGCAGTCGTTGTAAGGTTTCAGTTGAACATTTGGTATTATGGGAGGGAGTTTGAGGACAGCGAGCTTGGCATTTGTATTCCTAATAAAACAGGTTCTCTTCAGTCTAGCCTTCTGGTGTTTCTGCAGTCGGCTGTGCATGGGTTGTTCTTTAAAGTGGTGGTATTCGGAGAGCTGGGTGAGGAGCTTTGTGTCTCTCCTATCTTCCAGATTATGGAGACCAGTAATTGTTTATATGTCTGATATGGGGGTGGAGCGCATTGCTCCTGTCATAATACGGAGAGCATGGTTTTAAAACTTCGAAACTTTCTGAAAATTTGATTTAGCTGCTGTGCCCCAAGCAGCTGTTCCATATTCTAGTGTTGGCCTCACTTAGCCTGTACAGGTCCTCTTGAGGACATTGAGGTTTGCCCCCAGCTAGCTTCCTCGTCAGCTGGAATCTCTTGAGTCCCTTGCTCCGTGTCTTTTCTGTCTGTACATGTTACATGTTATCATATTGATTAGAATTTTAACAGTAGATGTATAAACTGCCCATAAAAAGACAAATGGCTTTAGCTGCGTGTTTGATGAATAGTTTGAAACACACTGATTTTTGTAATTAGATTGAAACAAATGTTAGTATCATGGAGTATTACAAGTACACTTGCACTCATTTTCAAAATTGCTTGACGCCCCTTTCGAACTACCTGAGAACCCGTAGGGGCGCAACAAAGTTTGTAGACCACTGACCTAGGAAAGACAGTATACAGCTTACTAAATACACAAGCGTTTATCACACTACTTAGACGGACGATGTGTAAAGCTTTTTGACGAATGTGACAAATTCTACGACATATAAACTATATCATTGATCGTCCTGATCAACAAAATTTGAGAAGTAAGACCTATAACCGCAGTCCTATAGGTATTGTGTAGGACCAAGGATCTTGAATCTCCTGACCACGTACGGGAAAAAAAAAACTCTTAAAAGGACTTCATTAAGTTTTGAACAGGACTTCCTTCGTGCGAAAAGCACATGGGGCACACAATGCTGGACCCATAGTTCCTATTAGACAAACGGCACAGTATATGTACTATTGTCAACATTACAGCGGTGATGACTGGACAGTGTCGCACACAAGATATTTTATGTTTTTAAAGGACCCCTTTTTCCTTGCCATTAGACATACTGAGCATATAGTGCTTGACATATATTGTATAGACTCATTTGTAGGGCTGTACCGAAGATTCGCTTCGTATTCGCTTCGGGGCCGAATAGTGGGCCTATCAACTATTCGGTATTCGGCCGAACAGTTGCGGTTGGGCCGAATACGAAAAGTAGTTACCTTACACCCGCTTCTGCATGGAACGATTGGTTTTGTTGAAAGCTAATTGCATTTTCATGCATTAACTAATCTGTCATTGACAATTTAAACGTTTAGTTACTTGTTATAATACTTAGGATCACCCCATGAAAAATAGATTTCAGAACCTAGCCTTGGGACGGTTAAAAAGAAGTAGCTTTATACATCAAGCAAAAAGAATATGTAGACAAACTGCTGACCTTCCAGAAATTGGT